ACTTTTTTTAAATATATTATTTAATTAAAATGTATAAATGATTATTTGCTATTTAATAATCTTCAAGGCCTGTGATTTTTTTTTTTTTTTTTTGCTTAAACGATTCTAAGTCTTTCCATCAGTCTAGGCTATTGAAAAACGTAAAATACCTAATCCCGCTTCTTTCAAAATTTAGCAAGATTTTCACTATTTGTTAGCCTGTTCATTTTCCCTTCATTAGTTTGCTTCCTAATTAATTCTCTTAATATAAGTTGACAGGTCAAGATTTGTTGTAATAAAAAGAACTATCTCATTTGTTGCAACATTTTAGTTAGTTGAAACTATCTTATTCTGAGAGAAAAAAAAGTTGATTCGTCTCTTTTATCCTCGGTTAGTCCAAAGAACCGGTTGAACTGTTTTCTACTGTAAATATTTTATAGAATATTTAGTTGCGTTTATGATGGCATTAAAACTATTTTTCTGTGACTTATAGATCAGTATTGCCAGTTATGTTTTTTTTCGGGAAAAAAAAAAATATTTTCAGCCACTGTGCTCCGTTGCGATGTAATATATCGGCTGTTGTCTCATTATCGTTTTGATAAGTGGTTAAAAAAATGGTGTTAAGCAACTAATACGTTTCAGGTAAGTGCTAAATGTTGTTTGAATACTTCTATCGACTTCTCATAACTAAGGTCTGGCTGGCGATTGGGGAGCGACTATTGCAGCCAGTATGTCATAGTTAGGTTCTCTGGTCGTATTAGGAGCATTTGAGCACTTTTTAGCTATTTTTCAAAACGTTGAAGGTAAAATTTGAAAGTTTCTTTCTTATGATTAAAATTTTCGAAGGGAGGTATATGAGACAAATTAGTAATATAAGATCGGGAATCTTGGCTGTTGTACTAGCTGTTGAAGAAAAGCCTGTCAATTTTGATCCATTGTATCAATCAATTATTTGAACTGTTCTGCGTCCATTTTCATTTGTGATAATAATAATAATAATAATAATAATATTTTATTTATTCTGGGACAAGTAACTTTAGAATAATACATAAGGACAGTAATGTGGGATAAGGAGCCTCAGAGATACATAAAAAGAAATGTTGAGTAATAAAATAGTCATATTAAAAATTATATGTTACTTTCTAACTTAAATAAGTTAATAATAAAAATTTTTAAAATAAAGTAAAAATAATGAAGAACAATCTAATAATTTATATACATATTTTCAGTGGTATCTATTTACAATTTTATGGGGACTGGATGGATAAGAAATGATTGAACAGGCGGGATTTAAAGGTAGGAAGGGTATTGGATTGACGGATGTGGGAAGGGATGGAGTTCCATAAGGATGAGGATCGGATAATGAACGATCTGTCGAAAGCAGCGGTTCGGTGGGCCCTTATGTATAAATCAGAAGACCTGGAACGAGTATTGCGGGAGCGAACAGAGGATTTGAATTGGAGGAGCTCGGAGATGTATGAAGGTCGGTGGGATTGGATGACTTGAAAGAGGAAGGATGCCAGGAAATACTTACGACGGTAGGAAGGGTAAAGCCACTTCAACTCTACATAAAAACGGGAAACAGAGGCGTCCCTTGGGATCCCGAAGATGAATCGTACAAAGCAATTTATCAAGCGTTTTAGTTTCGCCTCGAGATCCCCAGAGACGCCCCCATATACCGTACAGCAATAGTCAAAGTGGGGAAAAATTAAGGAAGTGACCAGGAGTCTTCGGGTTTCAAGGAGAAATAAGTGACGGAAGTGGTTTAGGCGTTTTAAGGTGGAAATGGTCCGGCGGGAGATGTTGGATACATGGTTTTTCCAGGAAAGCGTTTGATCGAAGGTTATTCCAAGGTTTTTGATAGAGGGATAAAATTTGATGGGATTATCATGTAGGAAAAGAGGTGGAATATGTGGAACAGTTTTAAGGAGGTGATTGGAGCCAATTAAGATTGCCTTTGTCCTTTCCGCATTCAACTTCAACTTGTTGGCTGTCACCAATCTTATCCAAGTCTTCTTGAAGTTTTTCTGTTGCTGATAATAGGTCGGAGGGAGGGAAGGACAAGTATATTTGGAAATCATCAGCATAGGTATGGTATTGGGAGTAACGGATCAGGAGAGGAAGGTCATTAATGTAAATAGCAAACAGAGTAGGAGATACAGAGGAACCTTGAGGGACACCACAGGAGAGGGGGTGGGTTTTAGATGGAGGTTGACCTGGGAAAACTACGTAATGGGACCGATTTGAAAGGAAGGATTTGATCGAACGGAGGGTACTGTTTGATAGAGGAAGATTGTGTAATTTAGTGAGGAGGATGTTATGGTCAGCTGTGTTGAACGCTTTGGAAAAATCTAAAAGGATGAGGATGGTAAGGTTTTGGTGTTCAATGGAGTTTTGGAGATCATGGGTTATTTTAAGGAGAGCGGATTGCGTTAGTAGCCAGGTCGAAAGCCAGATTGGAATGGATTGATAAGGGAACGTTCTTCTAGGAAGTTGGAGAGTTGATTTTGGACAAGGCGTTCTAGCGGCTTTGAAAGGTTGGATAGGAGAGAAATAGGACGGAAATCGTGCAGTGAGGTAGGGTTTGGAATTTTATTCAAAGGTCGGACTAGGGCAGTTTTCCAGAAGGATGGGAATATAGAGTTTTGCAATGAAAAGTTGTAGATATGGTAAAGAACAGGAATTAGGGCAGGAAGGCTGGATTTTATAGATAATGATACAAATGAAATAATAATATGTGTGGCAACAGATATTGATACTCACAATAATCCAAAGAGATAACTGAAATGAGATTGTCATGTTAACGTTAGGTAAACACTCTTCCTTTGCCTCAATTTTTATAATTTTAAAAAGGTGACCAAATCGATGAATATGTAGCGGCAACTAGTTCCCGCTCTTACCACAGGGTACAACTAGTTTCGTCTAACCGACCGATATCAGGCAGCGCCCTACAAGCTCGCACGTGGAACATACTAAAAATTGTATCTTTTATTTTTTATTGTTGTATTATAAAATACTCAATACTCAAATTGTAAATAAGAATATGTATACACATTGTAAATACTTTTTATTAATAAAGTTTAATGACGATAACATATACTGATCAAAGCTTAAAAATAACTGTTATTGTAACGGCTCTTGATAGCCGGTTTAGTCTTGGCGGAATGAATACCCCAGTCAAACCTCAATTTGTTAGTTCTACGGAGCTCCATCCCTTCAGGGTGTAGACCAGCACGCAGATGATCAGTATATGCTTCATATACGCTTTTTGGTTCACCTTAATCTGCTATTTTATTTCACTATGTCCATTAACCTTTATCCTCTTCGCTTACTCCATGCAAGTCTGGTCCGTCCACTTGCAGTCCTATATAATAAGTCAGGAGATTTATCCCTCCACTAGTATTTCATCCTCCCACAAGTCCGGTGATTGATCCCTCCGGTTGTGGTAACCATCCTTGCGGAGTGGTAAGGCTGATCTCTATCACCGCAGACCAAGAGTGCTTCGGCTGCTGATCCGCCTGACACTTAAGGTCATATATCTATTCATCTTCCTTCATCCAGTTATTCATCTTAACCCTCTACACTGAACACGCATTATCGAGGCCTTCTGATAACTTGCATACTGCCTCTGCATATATACCTCGACAAATATATTTTTTTATTCAAAACTATATTAAAAAATTTATAGATTATTCTAATAATAACAAGTAAAGTTAGTTACCATGTGTTATTTTTATTACACAAGAGTTCATTCACACCATATTTACAGAAAATATAAATTAAAGAAAATAGAAGTAAAATAACAACCTGGCTAAAAACAGGAATTTTATAAAATAATTTAGACAACAATTTATAAAACAATATTTTTTTTTCTATTTCGCCAAATCCATTAATATCAGATATAGGAAAGTGAACTAAATTAACTCCGTATATAAAAATAAGGGAACTAAATATAATTTTCTCTAAAATAGTTGGATGGTTGATTGGTTGTATAGTAAAGGCGTTAAACCTATTGTTCATCAACGCTGTTAGTTAAAATTATATATAATTATATGTTTTGGTTATGAATATTATGAATCGGATACAATTTAAAAAATGTAAAATGCACGTTTAGGTTAAAAGTTGTTTATTGTTATTAATGTTCAATTATTTAAAGTACGTACGTTAGGTAAAAAAGAAAAAGGAATAAAAGAGATGGGGAGTGCTGCGTGAGAGGTTCAGATATATTTTAAGATTCCTTCTTCGGTGAGAAAACATATGATTTTGCCTAATATTTTTTCATCATTTCCCAAAGCAGCCGGTGTATTTGCTGGTATTTCCCTTATGTTTAATTGTCTAATGTAAAAGACACAACTCTCGAAGATATGGACCACTGTCATTCTCTCTCCATACCTCCGACAAATAGGGGGGTTTTCTTTCGTGCGTAAGCCTGGTATGTCCTATTCTTAGTCGCGTGAGGACAACTTCCTCTGTGCGTCTACTGCGACTGAAACTGCTCCATGGCTTCCCTTCCTTTTTTATAATCTAAAATAATAATTAAAATTATAACTAAAATATTTTATTGTGAAGATTACTGTTTTTTTTATGTATGTTATGTTAATGTTAAATAAATTGTAGATGTAATACTTGTATATTAAAAATATATATATCGTCCTATTCAAAAGTCCTCAAATAATATTTTAGAATATTTTATCACTAATTAATTTACACTCTATGAAATCAAAACATTAGGAAACTATTTTCGACAAATAATATTTTTGGCCTTATTTCGAAACACTTGATGAGTTTATAGCATTGATAGATGTCACCGAAATTCACAAGTTTATACTATGTAAACAGGTTGCATCAACGAGGTGGTAACAACTAAGGAATTCCGTAGGACTTGTATCTTTAAAGAGAAGTTAAACCCTTATTTTTGTAATTATTTTAAAAATTAAAGTACTGCATGTCTCACTTCCTGTAAGCTACTTTTTTTTTAAATAATTATTTTGTACAATATATTAATTATTTGTCATTTTCAGTTGGTGACACTTTTGAGGAATTCTGATATCAAGCATGTCAACCTAAGATTAGATAAAATGGGAGGTAAGCTATTTAATCTGATAAAATGCTTAAACTTTAGAAAATATTTTTTTTTTTAAGAATCACAGACATTTTTATTAAATCATACAGTAATTATTACTCAATAAAGAAATTCTTATGGATATTGGAACCTAAATGTCTTTAATTCCAAATCTTAGTCTGGTATACATGAGTGTATTAACAATAAGTAAATCTTTAGCATTTGGCTAAGTAGGGGTATAGTCTCATACAAAAGAAACCCCTGACGATACATGATGCCTATATTTATGGACCAGCAAAGTTTATAGAAAGTGCTTGAACCAAAAAATGTTTTTAATTTTTACACATCTAAGAGCCATTTTCAATTTTTTATTACATTACAAATCGTGGAATTTCATTTAAAGAGAAATGAAAAATAAACTATTTAGTTTATTTAGATTGGTTTCATAGTTATAAATAAATCATTTGTAAACATTTCCTTTTGGTAATTTATATTTCATCATTCCCTTTCTACCATTTTGTTTCTCAATACACATTCTTTCATTATTTGAAGATACAGGTAATTTGTACTACTCGAAGTTTACTAATTGTCACAAGGCTATAATGGTATACATACATTTTTTGATGCAATCACCGTTTGTATGTTTTGATTTTTGTTGTACTTAAAATTAATGTAGTTTTAAACATTAGGAAAACTCAAATTATTAAAGATGTACAAAAGTTTATTGGAACATTACTAATTACATACTTTAATTACTATAGTAACATAAATGGATTCTTGTCTTGTTTTATTACCATTCTTTTTATATTGTTTTCACTTATATATATATATATATATATATATATATATATATATATATATATATATATATATATATATATATATATATATATCATTTCCAAATCAATTTCAACATTTTTCAAGTCAAATTCAACCTTTTCCATATCAAATTGAACTTTTTCAATCAAATTCAACGTTTTCCATTTCAAATTAAACCTTTTCCACTTCCAATTAAACCTTTTCCACTTCCAATTCAACCTTTTTTTATTTATTTAATTATTTTTAATTTTTCGATGTATTTGTCAGCTATCGTATAAGTAGTTTTTGAAAAGGACCTCCATTTCAATATTAAGCCACTACGTTTCGACTTATTCAATTTTTTCGAATTTATTCGATGGGGGTCTACTTATGTGCTATTGGAGACATTGTTTTTAAAAATGATTTCCATTTTAAGATTAGGCCACTGTGTTTTGGTTTATTTAAGTTTTTTGTGCTTATTTGGTATAAGGATCTACTTATATTTTATCGTATTTATAATCTATTTTTCAGCGGTATTGAATAAATATCAATTTCTCATTTTTAAATTTAATTTTACTATACTTTTTTAATATCGTGGTATTCTCTTACAACATTATAACATACGAATTTCGAACAATTAGCTGAAAAATCTGGAAATGTTAGGATATATTTATTAGCAGTTTTTTTTCGGCTACTTTGTGTTTTATGGTTAATTTAACCTTAGCCTCATAATATTTATTTATTCATACTCGAAAACATATTGATGAAACTGTTTATTGAAAAAAATCCCAAATAAAGCTTAAATAATCGAGATACAGCGGCATAATCTTTAAATGGAGATTAAATATTAGATAAATTTAAATATTAAAAGTAAATTTCAAATACTACGTCTCCGATAGCATATAAGAAGACCCTTACACCGTATAAGATCAAAAAACTTAAATAAACCAAAACACAGCGGCATAATCTTAAAATGGAGGTCTTTTTCAAAAACTATGTCGCTGATAACATATAAGTAGACCCTTACTCCGAAGAAATTCGAAAAAATTAAGTAAGTCGAAACGCAGTGGCTTAATCTTAAAATGGAGGTCATTTTCAAAATCTACGGCTCCGGAAACACAAGAATACACCCTTATATGAAAAAATAAACGAAAAACTTAAATAAATCGAAACGCAGTGGCGAAATCATAAAATATAGGTCATTTTCGAATTCTACGGCTCCGGAAACATATAAAAAGACTCTTACATCGAATAAATTGGAAGAACTTAAATAAATCGAAACGCAGTTGCGTAATCTTAAAATGAGGGTTATAATCGAAAACAGCTCATACGGTAACTGGCCCATAGATCGAAAAATTAAAAATAATTAATTAAATAAAAAAAGGTTGAATTTGAAATGAAAATTGTTTAATTTGAAATGGAAAAGGTTGAATTTAACATGGAAAATGTTGACCCTTATATCAAATAAATTCGAAAAGCTTAAATAAATCGAAAGGCAGTGGCGTAATCTTAAAATGGAAAATATTTTCAAAGACTAGGCACCCGATAGCATAATACTAGACCATTATATCGAATAAATCCGAATAGGTACAATAAATCGATATCTGAAAGTTTAACATAAAATCGATAATATTTTTAAAAAATCTACTTAAGGGAGCATAATAATAGTCCCTCATATTGTAAAATGGCCCATATTTCGAAAAAATAAATAAAAATATTACAAAAATCGAAACTTTAATTTGAAATGAAAAAGGTTTAATTTGAAATGGAAATAGTTGAATTTGAATTGGAAAAGGTTGAATTTGAAACGTAAAAGGTTGAATTTGAATTGGAAAAGGTTCGATTTGAAATGGAAAAGGTTGAATTTGAATTAGAAAAGGTTGAATTTGACTTGGAAAAGGTTTAATTTGACTCGAATATTATATGTATTCGATATATATATATATATATATATATATATATATATATATATATATATATATATATATATATATATATATATAGCATTTCCAAATCAATTTCAACATTTTTCAAGTCAAATTCAACCTTTTCCAAATCAAATTAAACCTTTTCCAATTCGACTTCAACTTTTTCCAATTAAAATTCAACCTTTTCCATTTGAAATTAAACCTTTTCTAATTCAAATTCAACTTTTTCCATTTCAAATAAAACCTTTTCCAATAATTATTCCAATTTAAATGACCTCCATTTTAAGATTATTTGTTTCGGCTTATTTCAGTTTTTCGGTTATTTTTCCATAAAAGGGTATATTCTTATGTTTCCGAAGCCTTGGATTTTGAAAATTACCTCCATTTTATGATTACGCCACTGTGTTTGGACTTATTTAAGTTTTTCGGTTTTATTCGATATAAGGGTATATTCTTTTGCTTCTTATGTATCTTATAGCGACGTGGAACGTAAGGAGTTTGAATACAGGAGGAGGGGTAAAATCTGTCGCAAATCAGGTTAATGAGTACATTTTATAAGAGGTTCGTTGGCCAGGGAAGGGATGCATAAAGGAAGCTAAGTACACTTTTTGGTAAGGGGGAACCGGAAATCATTGTTTAGGTACCGGTTTTCTTATTAGGAATAGATTTCTATCCGCTTTGAGGGATATTAAATTCTTTAGCGATAGGATTTCGGTGGCCATATTCCAGGGGTGTTGGATTAAAATCGCTTTGATAAACATACACTGTCAGATCGAAGACAGCGATGACGAATCCAAATGCGAATTTTATGATAAACTGGAGTGGGTTTATGATAAACCACCGCACTGCATGAAAATAATTTTAGGGGACGGTAACGCAAAGGTGGAAGGGAAGAAGTTTACTTTCCGACAATCGGTAAAGAAAGTTTACACGATTATAGTAATAATAATGAAATCCGGCTAATAAATTTTGCCTTATCGAAAAACCTGATAATTAAAAGTACTACGTTTAAACATAAGGATATTCACAAATATATTTGGACATCACCGGATTCGCAACCACGAAATAAAATCGATCACGTTTTGTTACAACATAGGTGGCAAAGGAGTATAATTAATGTACGGTCTTATAGCGGGGCAGAATGTGGGTCAGATCATGAATTATTAATTGCGGAACTTCGAGAAAAATTTCATATAAAAAAGAAAACCGTTTCGATTCCGAAAATTTTAATTTAGAAAAACTAAAAAATCCATCAATTAGAACTTAATTCGAGCTTGAAGTTAAGAATAGGTTTGAAGCTTTAGAACCTTCTGAAGAGGACTGCGATGATATCGACAAGTTATGGGTAGTGATCAGGGATAATATTAAAGAAGTCGGTAAGTTGTGTCTTGGAAAAATGGAAAACAAAAGTAACAAACCGTGGTTTGATGAAAATTGCTAAAATATGAGCGAAAAAAGAAAAGCTGCTGAAAGAAAAGCTCTAAATAACCTTAGAGAAACAATCTTGAATACTTCCGAGTCTTAAAGAATGAAACTACCAAATTGTTCAAAAATAAAAAAAGGAGTATATTAAAAATAATATAATAGATATAGAAAATAATAGAATCGGAAACAACGTAAGATACATGTACAAAGGTATACATAAATCACGTAAATGTTTAGGACTCGTAATGACTGGAATTAAGGATGAAAATAGCAATATCCTCATGGACCCTGTAGACATATTGAGTAAGTTCAAGAAACACTTTGACAATATTTTAAATAAAAGAAATCATGATCTGTGTCCTTCTTCTGAGTACGAAAGTACCGAACCGTTAATACAAGAACCATGTAAAGAGGAAGTTGAAATATCTATCGGAAAATCAAAATCTTATATAGGGGACCGATGATATTCCTAGTGAACTAATTAAGGCATGCGGGAAAGCTAGAGTTTATAAAATACATTTTTTGGTTAAAAAGATTTGGGAGAATGAGAAATTGCCTGAAGAATGGAAAGAATCCATTCTTATTCCGATTCATAAAAAGGGCCCTAGGACGGATTGTATCAACTATCGAATTGAATTTCACTTCTTCCGGTATGCTATAAAATATTCACAATAATCTTAACTAATAGAATCACGGAATACGTCCAGGAAATCATCGGAGATTACCAATGTGGGTTATCGATCAAATATTTTCTTTGAGACAAATATTAGAGAAAAACATACAGAACAACGGAGTTGTTCACCAGCTGTATATCGATTTCAAAAAGGCTTCAAATTCTATTGACCGCGAGAAGCTGTATAATATTCTAATCGAGCAGGGTATCCCCTAAAAATTAGTGTATCTAGTTAGGATGTGCTTGATGGAAACACTCAATATAATTAGAATCGGTTATTATTTATCCCAGAAATTTAAGGCTCGTTCGGTCTTTGAACAAAGTGATTCTCTTTCACCTGTCCTATTAAGTTTGTCATTAGAAAACGCAATTAGAGGGGTGATACATACTGAAAAAGGTTTGAACCTGGGTGAACAATATCCGTGCTTGGGTTTGCTGATGATTTGATACTGCTAAGCGAACGTATGGAAACAATAAAACTAAATACAAAGACGTTGATGGAAGCCGGTAAAGAACTCGAGCTAAATACGGATAAGCCAAAATATATGGTTAGCTGCAAAAACAGCTACAATATCGATGATATCGATATAGAAGGGAATGTGTTTGAATACGTACAGGTATCAAGGGTCTACGATAACTTCGAAACACGAAATTGAAGAGGATATTAAGATTAGGCTGAAGTCCGGAAATGCTTGTTATTTTTCTTGGTCAAAAATACTTAGTTATCGCCTCCTGTCCCGAAACTTAACTATTAGAATTTATAAAACCATTATTCTTCCTACGGTTCTTTACGAATACGAAACGTGGTCGCTTACATTAAGGAATGAGAAACGTCTTAAGGTTTTTGAAGATAGGAACCTTATTTTGTGTTCAGGAATTGTAGAGGAAACCCTTGCCGTGTTATTCCGCAGATATTACTGGCACCGCATGCACCGATCGATTCGCAAGGTCCTTCAAGCATGTACGGTGTGTCATCTTACGAAACATGAGAAATCCCATCACTGTCCATCCAGAAGTGTCCCGTGCTCCTAACAAACCGTTATTGGATATTCAGGTTGATGTTTATACTTGGGAAGGGTCGCACTGGCTTACCATCCTTGAAAACTTCAGCAAATCAGCAATGGCATATCTGTTGCCGGATAAAACGAAAGAGGCTATCTAGGCGAATGGCATGTTCAGCTGAATGTCATGCTTTGTAGTACCTCACAGTATAACGTCAGACGGTGCAAGAGAATTTCGGAACATACGAAATACTCGGCGTTAAATATAAAGGGGCATTTCAATTCCCCGGGTAACCCCCAAGGACATGGGACTCTTGAAAGTCTCCATAACACCTTAGGGGAACATCTTCGATTGTTCCAATTGCATAGAGGACTAGAAGCGACCGCGCAGATGCCTCGAGTGGTGCTGGCGTACAGCAATACGATCCGTCCTTCTACAGGTTTTACAACGGTGGAAGTAGTATTCGGTCATCCACTACGGAATCGGGGAGGCTTACTAACGACTACGTACACACATCTAAGAGATGCTGTAATTCAGAAACGTAAACAATTCGCCGATATATCCCAGCGAGTGCACAATAAACTTTTTCGAGACAAAATGGTACCACACCTTTTTCAAAGTGGTAGCGCTGCGAGAACATAACATTGTGTCTATTCAAGAGCTAGCGGGAGCTCAGAGAGTGAGGCATACCCATGTACGGCACCCCGCATCCCTCTTGACACAGATGGAGAATATCACCACGAGGGGCGTTCGGCTGTAACATATTTCAAGCTTTAATATTTATATTAATTAATGGTTATTGTATTCTTGCTTTATAAATTTTGTTAAATAATCTTTATATGTTTTATAATTTTTATAACCTTTATTTTTTTGATAAGGATCTATTACATATTGCTATGTAATGTTTTATTTTAGCTTTAAGGTCTTATTAATTTTGTATTCAGTTCTATTTTAATTTTTGTACTAAAGAACCTGAAGATCACTTCGTGAACTGGGGTGGGGATGATAGGTAGTGCATTGATAATTAGTTAATCAATGAAATAATTCAGATTTATAAAAGAATATAAAAAACATACGTTTTAATTAGCATTGTTTTTCAACAGGCAAAAGTTCGTAAATAAAGTTAGTATTGTTCAAGCTGTCACAGTGTTTCCTTCATTACCTTTTCTTTTATTTTTAATTCCTATATTACTAAATAACTTTACTTATATGTACATACATACACATATATATATAGTATATAATTTGCTTATTTTAAACATTTTGTTACAGTTTATGGGGATAGGATAAACGAATATGTACAAGGAGAATACTCCCATAATTTACCTGCTAACGTCTATTATCATGGATTACATCCGGATTTTGTTAGAAAATGCTACAGCGTCATCGAAACGAATGATTCAGACGCTATGATCGGATTATTTCCAGATACGTATGATTTAATTGTAGTAGGTGGTACATCCCTCGGACTTCAAACAGTATTTGTACGTATAAAGTTTTTAATTAATAATTAAATCATTAAAAAACATCTGTAACTTTTTTTTAATTATTTATTTAGAAATATAATAATCTGTCACATGGACAATAATTATAGTGAGATATGAACACATTCATACCATATATACATATAACATAAAATTAACAAAAGTAAAATAATAGCTAAATAATAATAAAAACTATGATTGGAGAATTTTGGTACCAGTCTTTTTGTAATTAAAATATTTGTATAATTTTTACATTGTAAATATAATTGTTTTTATTTTCCTGTTAAGTATTTGTATATAAATAGACTGAAATATAATTTTTTTATGAAACACAGACTCCTCTGACGGTCAACAGACCATGTTGCACGTCTGATTTTCGGTTTTAAATCCAAAAATATTATTCTGTATTGTTTTGTAATTTATATTTTATAATTTTGATAAATAAAAAGACTTTTTCTTCTTCTTCTCTTCTTCTAATAAAAACTATGAACAATAAAAAATAAAATAACCTAAAGATAAGTAAATTAAAAACACAGTCATACCTATATACAATCAGGCAGGGAACCCCAATACTCCAAAAGGTCCATGCGCTACTCTCTCAACCGCGTCACTGGTGCTAAACCTAGTGGAGATTGAGCGAGGGCGGGCTAGCTACGTACACTCATGTCTTGAGTGGAAAATCTGGCAATGGCCAGACTCCATGATATATACAACCAAAGGTCTCTGGGTCACTGCCACTTCAGCCTTCGAGGAGGATTGTAGGGGTGAGTGGAACTAGATAGTGACTGTGCAAGGGGATTTGGATAATTTGCAAGGTTCTGATGGAATTTGGAAAAAAATTTAGGGATAAGGTCTGGGACAAATGGAATATTAAAGTCATGATGTAGGGTTTTGTGGGTTATATAGAACGGAGCATCAACTATTGTTCGGAGGACGTTGGACTGAAAAGTTTTTTGTAAAATAAATCTATATTTTGCCATTTTGGGATGGGGGCTTCAGCACGAAAGACCCTCCCCTCTCCCTGCGTAGATCCGCCTGTGTTCCATAGGGAATTGTCATAAACAGAGAGGGAAGTAAGGTAGGAGTTGAAGGATTGGGATTTGAAGGCGGCTAATGGGTTCTTACCTCTAAGTAGTTCGGAGAATGATACATTATTATTCACTATTGTAGAAGGTTCTCTTCTTTCTCTGGTTGTCTCATCTTGAAACGGGTCTTCTGGTATCTGGATTTGAGATTCTTATAAGTTTGGCAGCCTTTGTAGTTGGCCGGGTGTCCCTCTAGGCATAGGGCACAAACTGCAGAATCTTGTATTGGTTCAGTGCACTCTGCTAATTTGTGTTGTCCACCACACGCAACACGGCAAGTAGTGGCAAGAAGTCTTCGTGTGGCCGTACCTCTGGCAATTGTGGCACTGCAAGATTTCCCTCTTGGGTTATGAGCTTCTCTATCTTCACGATAGGGTAGTACAATATCTTGATTTCATATATTTTCTCGATACCAGGTGATGGCTCTAGGTTCACGAAAAATATAGGTAGTGGAACTTTATTTTTTACTCCTGGGTGTTCCTTATCCTCCTTCAAAATGTTGGTTACCTGGTGTACTTTGAAAACAAGTCTCGTTAGTTCTTCTTTTATCACTTCAGTTGGGGTTGAGGAGTGCAAATTTCTTATCACCACTCTTAACGATCACTCCTACCTCAATTGGTATGTATGAAAATTCGCGTTCCTTTCTGACAGGTACTTCCATATTTTTCGGTAGGTTTCAGCAGTATTGGTGTTATTTTTGTATCGTTCGTCCTGTTGAGGCAAGAATAAGTGCCAAAGCAGTTTTTGTTTTGTTGTACACTCAAAAACCGGAATTTTTTTTAAAATATCGACGGAGGCCTTGGTTCCCTGGGTATTGCTGCAAACTCCATTACTTCTTTGTCATTCTGAAGCACTTGGAATGGGTTTGGAGTAAAGAAAGGGGATTTTTCAATCATTTCTTGCGAAGAAGTGCCAGGTTGAGGCTGAGGTTCTTAATCTGAAGTGTTAATTGTGGTCATTAGAGCTGTTTCTCGTAGGCAGCGACGAGTTCTTTGTTTGACTGGTGAACCTCGATAGCCCTGGAGCCAGAGCCAAAAAATCAGCATGATCGCAGGTGAAGGTTTGATTGCAAATTACGAAAGTGTATGTTATTCTGAGTAAAAAGAAGCTTGTCTGCCGTTTCAGACCCGGTGCTTTAAAAAATGGCGGCTAATTTAAAGATTATTAGACCAGTAACTTGAGGATAGAATCTCCATTGCGAAACTTGTATTATATTCAACTTGTATATATGGGTTTATACATGTAAAAAACAAAATTGCTAACGCGGGCCACCAAGGGAAAACTTTTTACAACAAAAAAGGCTGATTTTTTCGATATTTTTCACCAATAACTCCTAAACGATGGATCAAAGCGAAAACATACTTGTTAACACATTAAATAACGTTAAATTTTGCCTCGAACGAGTACATAAACTTTATAATTTGGTTGATTGGTAACGTATAAAACGACGGTCAACCAACTCTGATCTTTTCCAAACTTGTCAAAACTGAATCAAATTACTATAAATGGCCCTGCAACTTGGAAATTAGTTCCTCAAGAGGATAAACCCATGGAGTCAATGTTGTAGAGCATCAAATTTTGCGTCCTGAGAGTATCAACTAAAAACCTAGGTCTGATCTAGGTCATTTACTCCGAACAAAATCGGTAATCCCACCGATAGTTAGAAATTGGTAATGAAGATAAACGTTATTTCCAATATTTAAACAGTATGGGTGTGTACTATGTATAATTAATTAATAAAAATACTTTTAGAACAAACGTAGGTGTGCTTTATTATTTATTACAAAAAACACCATCTGTCTTATCTTTATCTAATTAATATATGTAATCGATTATATTATAATTTATAAATAGAGATTACAGTCTTATACTACACCCTTCCCTTAATCCTCACACAAAAAACACCATCTGTCTTGTCTTTATCTAATTAACATATGTAATCGATTATATTATAATTTATAAATAGAGGTTACAGTCTTATACTACAGGTGTTTATTCTACTGGGTTATTTTTGTTTAGGGTCTGTTACATGCAGTATAAGGCTCTATTCTACCTCTCAGCAACGAAGGATTTTGATAAACGATGTCTCGAAAGATACGGAATCTGATTAAAGAATAACGAATCCCGATGCGTGATATATGATTGGCCTACTATACAAATATCATTACTCAGGACGCAAAATTTGATGCTCTAACAACTTTGATCATAACAGTTTTTCCTCTTAGGGGACTCATTTCCAAGTTTCAGGGCCATTTATAGTAATTTGTCTCAGTTTTTGACAAATTTGGTAAAAATCAGCGTTGGTTAACCGTGGTTTTATACCTTATCACGTAATCAAATTATGAAGTTTATATACTCGATCGACGCACAATTTAACGTTCCTTAATTTATTAAACTGTATATTTTTAACTTTGTTGCATCGCTTAGGAGTTAAAGGCGAAAAATCAGAAAAATGTCGAAAAAACTTTGCTTTTTTGGGTGCAAATAATTTTTTTCCCTTGGTGGTCCGCTCTAGCAATTTTGTTTTTTACGTGTCTAAACCCATATAGAAATTGAAATAGAAATAGAAAATCATCTTTATTCTGGGACTAGGTCCCTTAAGAATTACAATATTGTTCAAACCAATTGACAATAAATCTGGCCAGATGACCTATTATAATAAAGAGTAACTAAAATCCAAGTAATAAGATGAGTATATACAAAGTTTTGGAGGGTATATTAAGGAAAGCACATGGGTACAAGGGTTACAATATTATAATATTTGTACAAAAAATAACAACATACTAATAACGAAATAAAATTGGAAAGGAATGCTAAAAAAGTTTTATAGGTAATCAATTTAAGTGATACAATATAAAAAAATAAGAATAAAAAAAAATAACTATAGTAAATAAATGATTTATATATCTTCCTAAAGACGTTTAAGTGAAAACATATGAAGGTATTGTGTTAAACTAGACAAGTATTGCGATCTACTTTTTTTTTTTTTTTTTTGGGTCCTCCCCTTCCTCGCCGTTAAGGCTATACGGGGATTTTCCCGAGCCAGGGGGTGTAGGCGGGGATTTAAAAGACGCCTTGGCACCGGGATGCGAACTCGTGACTATTTTTGTATCAATTATCATGTATCAGGTTGACGGGCAACGGTGGTGCTGTGCACAACGCCTTAGCCCATTCGGCCACCCCGCCCACCATATTGCGATCTACCTATGACGCAATAGGTTACGATAAAAAAATATATATATATATATAAGTTTAAAAAAAATTAAATTTTTTTCACATTTTTCGCAATAGATTTCCCGTTTCGATCCTCAAATTAGTTTCCTAATATTCTTTTAATCAGCCGCCATTTTAAAGCAGCGGCTCTGGAACAGTATACAAGGTTCCTTTTACTCAGAATAACACACACTTTCGTAATTTGCAATCAAACCTTCGCCTGCGATGAGTTCGATTTTTGGGCCCTGGCTCCAGGAGTACGAGGGGTAAAGCCGTCTGACCGAGTATTCTTAGTGGTCACCTTACTGGACATCATTTGGTGATATTACCGCATATCATAAGAGAAGAAAATAAAAGGGAAAACAAATAATAAGAATTTAAACAAATACCAAACGGTAAATATCAGCTGCCCTGATGTACACTTAAACTGTATTCAGTGAATAATCAGAGACAGTCCGCTGAAAAAATAGGCAAAAACTCAGAGACGATTTGAGAACACAGACTTGGCATCAGCTGATCCACTGCCTTCGACTGTAATTAAAAATATATTTATCAATATCAGAATATCAATTAATTATTTTTAGTTTATAATTTCGATGTTTTCAAACGTTTTAATAAAAATGATACACACGCGTACACACAAACACTGCAAATAGAATCATACATGTATTTTTATAATTATATAAGGTTTATTAAAATTGAAATTTATTTTAGGAATCACGACTCCTGGGTGTAAAGGTTTGCTTAGTCGATAGTCCCCTGAGGCCGGCAGCATCACGGCCCATAACATTCCTGGGGAAATCGACTTTATCAGAACCTAACGTTTCGAAAAAAATTTTATATTATTTGCTTTCGCTCAGGAACCGAGCGAGAAAGCATCACATCGGAGATTATTCTATAGATTCGATGAAAAGAAGTAAAACTTTTTTTTTAATTTTATTTAAATCCTTTAAGATTAATGTCGTTTAATATCTAGATATATACATTAATTTTCAAATAATTAACAAACGTCCAAAATCAGTATTGTATCCTATCCTTTGTATTAAAATAAATACTTCGAAAAACAAATCATCTCTCTCTCAAAAAAGAATATATATATATATATATATATATATATATATATATATATATATATAACTTACGATTAGACTGAAAGACTGATCGAAAAAAAGGGTTTTAGGGCATAGTAACAGTACACAGGTTCGTGAGCAACTGACTTTATTATTTACTTCATCCCATATATATAGTAACAGTTTTTCATTTACAATGTTTTGTTAATCCTATTAGTAACATAGTTCTTATTATTGTTTATGGCTTATATACAGCTAACTCCCTCCCTCCAGTTCCTTCGTATGGAGGAACTTATAATAATAAAATAAAAAAAAAAAAAAAAAAAAATAGAACATCAAACACAAACTCAAACACTTCCAAAAGAGCAGAGAGAAAAAAAATAAGTAGCAGATCCACTTGCTTAACAAAATTATACCTAAAACTAAAGAAAATACAGATATCCTAAAATACAATAACTTAACCTATATACAATGAAATTTAACAAAAGAAAAAAAAATTAACAAAGGTTAATCAATATTGCTAAAAACATAAAAATGGAAAATAAGAAAAGAAAACTTCCTAGCCGTGAGATGGTCCAGGCTGGGCGCCGCCGTCCGTCTCGTTTTCTGGCATGACCTGGGGTACCCGAAGTTCTTCGAGGTGTACCGTACGTGACCGAAACGGGTAATTTACATCCCTGATAGTAAATAGATTATTCTCCCGTATGGTGATGACTTTATAAGGCCCCTCATACCTCGCGGCTGTTTTAGTGCGAGCGGTCCGTAATCGTCTATACACTATGGTTCCCAGCGCTAACGGGCCCTTTCTATAAACTATGGGTCGGTTCTTTGCCTTAGCCACCCGGGTTTGCTTCTCTTGAACTAATTTTTCTCGTACCTTCGCCCACGTTGTTTGCCGCCCTACTCTCGCCTGATACATACTAGCTTTAAAGTCGTTATTGTTAACCGTGATGAGATCCCCTCTATCCCGTCGCCTCTGTCCGAACACAATTTCGACTGGTGATAATCCCGTCGCGGCATGAATAGTATTATTGTAGGCTATGACAGCACGTGGCATAGCATCGAATGGATCGAGGTTACGACCTAACTTGTTCGCCTAGCGAATTGTGAGCCGTTCCACGGCGCCCCTTCCCTTAATGTTATGTGGGGTGTTCAAACGCCAATTAATGCCCAATATCTTGCTCTCATCTCGAATTAGAGAGTTATCGAACTCTCTACCGCAATCTGAGACGATTTCGTCTGGGACACCGTAAAATGCGCACCATTGCAAGATCCCTTCCCAAACTGCCCCAGGAGTTTTTGACTCAATGGGATAGGCCATTGCAATTTTACTGAACGGGTCTATCGCCGTTACCCATGATTGCCCCTCGTTGGAATAAACGTCTACCTGTATGGATCGCAGGGGTTCTGTAGCGGTAGGGGTGACTACTGTTCGGCTACCGGAGGTTGACGATCGTACTTCGCTCTTTGGCAGACTCGCACTGTGCTACACAATCCCGTACGGTACGGCCCATACCTTTCCAATAATAGAGCAATTTCAATGCACGAAGAGTCTCCTCTACTCCCCGGTGATTTGTTTTCCCAGAATGGTGTTCCGTTATCAGGTTCTGTTGTGCCGCTGGTTCTGTAATCGTTTCTACCTGACGTAAACACCGCACTAGCGAGTACCCCATTCCTATCCTTTCCTGGCCCCATAACCACTTCAATTTTTCCGCAATCATCCGATTACCCACATAGACATAGCAATTCCGTCCTGGGTTACTGAATTCCACGAATATACGTTCTAACGCGTTTTCATCTATAGAAGCGGGGGTGTGAACTAATATAGTTGACAAACCTTCATACGTGCTTGCCCTGGTTTCTATTCCGGAGTCCTGCTTTGATTTGATAATGATCTGTAGTCTTTTATTGTTAATGATTTCGTCTACTTCGGGCAGTTCCGCGGGTCTGTCCGTCGGTGTCGCAATTTCCTCGGCCTCACTCTGGACTAAAGGAATCTCTGGTCCGCCTTCCGCCCACTCGCGTAGATATCGTAGCGCGAATGGTTCTGTCGGGACCTCCTCGTCCTCGATCGCGTTTACTACTAGGTCTCGTGATAACCAATCGGCAACCGCGTTGTCGACGCCCTTTTTATGTATTACGTGGAAGTCGTAAACCGTTAGACGCTCCTTCCACCGTGATACCCGTGCAGAAGATTCTTTAAGAGTTCCGAGGTGCAATAAAGGCTTATGATCGGTCAGTAACTCAAGCCGTCTCCCGTACACGTATGGTCGGAAGTATTCCACGGTCCATACTACCGCCAAAAGCTCGCGCTCGATTGCACTATAACGTTGTTCTGCTTCGTTCAACTTCCGCCCCGCGTATGCTAGTGGTTTCTCGCCACCTACGAAATTCTGAGAGAGCACGGGCCCGATAGCTACCTCGCTGGCGTCTGTGGTGATTTTGAACATTTTAGCGAAGTCGGGGAAAGCTAGTAGTGGCCGAGTGGTCAAAATCTCCCGACATTTCTTAATGCACACTAGCTGGTCTGGACCTAATTGAAACCGTCTCCTTTTTTTCAATGTTTCGGTCAATGGATGCGTGAGTTCCGCTATTCCGGGCATAAACTTCCGATAGTAATTTATCATACCCAAAAATCGCCTGACCCCTCGGGCGTTCTTAGGTAATGGTGCTTCCAGGATGGCCTTTACCCGCTGCGGGTCCGGCTGTACCCCGTTCCGTGAGAGAATACTAGGAGACTACGTGTCCTAGAAACCTGATTTCTCGTAACCCGAATTGAGACTTTTCCCGAGATAACTTTAGGCCGAATTCGCGCACCCTGTCAAAAACGCGTTTGAGGTGTTGCACGTTGTCCTCCTCAGTTTCACTAAAAACGATGTGGTCGTCCATATAGACCTGTGAGTAAGTAGGATTCGCCCAGTCCTCGCTGTAGCTCGTCCATAAGGCGTTGGAACGTCAGTGGGGCCCCTTTTAGCCCGAACGGCATTCGAACGAATTCGAAGTGTCCCCTTCCCCACGAAAAAGCCGTCTTCCCGATATCCTCCTCGGCCATCCGGACCTGGTGATACCCGCTCTTTAAGTCCAGCGTGCTAAAAATAGTCGCCCCTGACAGTCGATCAAGAATATCCTCGACCCGAGGAAGTGGATACCGCTCGTCCTTAGTCGCCTCGTTCAGTTTCCTGTAGTCAACTACGACTCGATGCTGTTTCGCGTTGCCGCCCTGCTTCTTTTCTACCACCCACAGAGGGCTATTAAAGGGGGAATCACTCTGTCTAATAATGACCTGCTTAAGAAGTTCTGCCAATTGTTCCCAGATAATCTCTCTCATGGCTTGCGGGTAACGCCGATTTTTAACGTAAACTGCGGCTTCCGACTTCAGATTTATTCTATGCACTGTTCGACCCGTGGTTGGTAGGTACTCGTTTTCGCGGTAGAATAAATCCTTGTTTTGCGCGACTAATTTCGCTAGCGAGTCTTTGATGCAATCCACGGCCCCGACTTCCATGAGTCCTCTACTTCCTATCATCTTTACCTCGTAGTATCGTTCCCCTATTCTATACCGCCATGTCTCGTTCCTATTCTTAATTTTAAACCCAACGCGGTTTAAAATGTCGCACCCGACTATTAGATCCTGGCCCTGCATCAACTGCGAAATTATGTGTATCGTGATCCGCGAGCCACGTTCCGTGAGTTCCTTGAGGTCAAAAAGTGTCTCCCCCAGTGTTTGACCTCTGCCATGAATCCTTGACACCGCACAGTCGCATCGTTCCCGTTTCGCCCAGATTCCCAGTTTTTCCGCCGCCCCTATATTGATTAAGGAATTCGTACTTCCCGTGTCGATGAGAAATTTGATGCCGGATTCTCTCAGTCTCGCCACGGGCAACCTTGTCCGCTGTCCTGTATTCGCGCTGTTGTTAATAATTAAACCCCCCGGTCGGTTGCCCCTCCCGTTGCCGCGTCCTCAGTCCGAGCGCGCGGGTCCTACCGCTACCTCCGTTCCTGACGATCCCTCCCTCCAGGGATTCCCCCCACTCACCTCTTGCCTCCTCGTAGTCGGACCACTGCGCCCAGACCTACACCGGCTGGTGTAGCGTCCCCCGCCTCTCCTACCAGTCCGTCTTCCGCTCCAGTTCTGGTTGTTGATCTCCATGGGCTCATGCTGTGGTTCCCTTCTGTTCGGTCGGGGGTTGCGCCTTGGACATTCTCTCGCAACGTGCCCCTGCCTGCCGCAATCGTAGCACCTCGTGAGCTTACATTGGGCCGCTACGTGACCCATACGATTGCATTCGTAGCAACGGCGCCCAGGCTTCCGTCTCCCGTCTTCTAAGCCTTTGCTTGGTCGCTTTTCGAAGCCTCCGTTAGTGTTATTCCTCCTCGTAATACTGCGTTGCCGCCTTCTCGGTGATCTCACTTCCGTCCATTCCGCTTCCGGTTTTTCGAAGCGGGTTTCGTTCCGCTCCCTCGCATCGACCAGGTCGTGGGCGCATTCGATAAAATCGCGGTCTCTGGGCAGTGATCCCGGACGGTCCACATAATGGCTTAGTTGCACCTTTAGCACACCCCTTAGAAACTCCATCTTCTGGGCTCCTTCCGCCTGGCCGCATGTTTCCACCATCTTCTCCGTCAGTCTATTGTATAACACCAATAACTTTTCGGCGAACTCGCCCTCCGATTGGCCCTGGGTTCTACGCTCTTTAAACAAATAGAAAACATCCTCTTCCGGGGTCCACCTGCCACCGCCGTATAACTTCTTGAGCCGTATCTTCAGCGTCCCCCAGGAGACCGTCAAATCGCCCTGTACGGCGTTTAAAACTCGCCGCGAGATACGACCAATCAAAGAGGCTTCCAATATTCGTACGTCAGACTCCAGCAACGTGCCTTACTCCTGTCTGGTGGTAATCAAAGTTTTAATCTGGTCACCACCTTTGATAAAATGTTCGAGGTCACCTACTACACCTGTGAACGGTTCTAACTGGCTAATTACCTCGTGAATAAATGCCGAGTTCTGCGTCCTTATCTTAAGCAACTCGATCTGTATGTTTTCGGTCGCTTTCGATAGCTGCGTTTCTAGTTTCTGACCCTCCGCTTCCAATTTCTGTCTCTCCACCGCAGCCTGAGCAAGTTGGTACTCCAGCTTTTTCAATTCTTCTTCCATCGTAATTGTTATCCGTAAATTGATTAGAAGCTTGTGTGGGTTCGCCTAGTGATTTTTCCAAAATTCACGATACTATTAGCCGCGCGATAAAATTCGGAATTCCTCCCGGGTTTCGGCACCACTTACGATTAGACTGAAAGACTGATCGAAAAAAAAGGGTTTTAGGGCATAGTAACAGTACACAGGTTCGTGAGCAACTGACTTTATTATTTACTTCATCCCATATATATAGTAACAGTTTGTTTTCATTTACAATGCTTTGTTAATCCTATTAGTAACATATTTCTTATTATTGTTTATGGCTTATATACAACTAACTTATATATATATATATATATATATATATATATAATGATCAAAATTTCTTCTTAACCGAAAAAAGTAATTAGTTTATTCAATTTAAACGACCCTTTAATTTGAATCCGAATATTGTCTTTTTTTATTATTTCTACACAGTTTTATATTGAATTAATCTCTCATAATGTTTTTTAGTTCACTCTGACTGGACCAGACTTTCTTCATCTGCTCGCAAATTGATTGCGAAATTAAGCTCGAATAATATGAGTTCCCTTTATAATGTCGGAGCAGGTTTTTTGAAATGTGGATTAAAGTTCGTTGATCGTCACACTGTTGAGGTAAGATAATGCTAAACTAAGTTAAAACTGCAATATAATACGCAACAGTTTCACAGCGGAATTTATTTGTTTATATATATGTATATATACATATACGTAATTCTTGAAGAAATGAAGAAAGTAGACTGTTAGACGATTGTTAAAACAATATTTTATTATTAATCCAATGTTACAGAAGTAGAGTAAATTACATCAAATAAGATACACTATTAAACTTACCTAAAATAATAGAATTCAATAAAAGACACATCCCTTTCCACGGTTTTCATGAAGTGAAATACAATAGTTACTAAATACAAGTTTATTTATTAACAAATGTTATCAAAGTTAACAATATAATATTATATTTATATATAAGGTCTAGGAAAAATGGAATGTTATGGTCATGATGTAGGGTTTTTTGGTTACATAGAACGGAGTAACGACTATTGTCCGGAGGACTTCGGACTGAAATTATTGGATGCGTTTGATATTAAAGAATTTTGCTGTCCCCCAAAGTTCAATTCCGTAGTTCCAAATAGGTTTCAGAATTGTCTTGTAGATCAGTAATTTGTTGTCAATTGAGATTTGCTAGTCAGTAGTCTGTAAAATTGGCCGTATCTGTTAAGTTCTTGTCTTTTATATCTAGTATGTTGGTGCTACGTTAGTCTTTGGTCTAAGAGAAAACCAAGATACTGAACTGTGTCTGAAAAAGAGAGCTTGATGTAATTAAAGTGGACTGATGGAGAGAATCTGCACCGGAGCGTGAAGGTAATGTTTTTGCATTTGGATTTTTTTATATTTCTTTCTCTATATTTCGGCTACTCCAGCGGCTCCTGTTGGACCAAATTAGATGAAATTCAGTATACAGAGATTTTTCCCGGAGTAAACAATACTATTAAACTTTGGAGAATTTTGTCAAAATTTTCGCTGGTAAGAACATTTTTTTCACCTTTTTACCCTGTTTTAAAGTATTGCTCCTCTCCACAGCCCCTCCTAATGAAGTTGGAAGATTGAAATTTTGGTAGGTGATAAGTAACTCCGTTTAATATTTTGTCAAAACTTTAGACGCACAATTGAAAAATTAAACAAAATTTTTATCGTTTGAATTTATGTCTTTATGTTTGCAAAAAATACTTGATATGCTGGCTTAACAATATGTAAATAAATGGTGTCGCATAAGTAGAGGGAAATATTTACAGGATTGGGAGCAGACCTCAAGAGCTACATAAAAGTTTATATAAACATTGGTCTTAGTTTCGGCAGAAAAGTAAAAAAGAAAACTTTTACTTCAAATGAAAATAGATTTTGATATTGTTGAAACCATTTAAAGAGGACATTTGAGCGAGTAAACTAAGTTTAGTTCTGTTTAAAAACAACCATAAAATTTGAAATTTATCATTTTCCAACTAAAACACAAATACCCCATATTTATAAATACGTCAACGTTTAATAAGCTTTAATTCCATATTAATTAAGAAGGGGTTTATTTGGGAAAAACTTGATATTTACCTCATATTGTGTAAAAAGTTATGTGATTGTATGCCTTTATCTTTAACGCACATTTTAGGAATAAAAACATTTATTTCCTCACTTGTAAATACGGATCAATTTTTGTAATAGATTTCCTAGTAAAAAAGACATTTTCATTATGACTTAAGATGATGAATAATCGAAAAAAACATAATTATTTTTCAGAAATATAAAGTGTGTTTATGGATTTATATTAATTATTATACATTCCAGGTAATAAAAAAAAATAATAAATTAAAACATTGCAATGCTTTATTGCTATCATTTTTGTTAAAGACAATGGAACTTTTAGGTAACAGAATACTAAATAACATAATTTGTTTATACTATTCAAGGCGATTCTCTAGTTTTTTTAATCATAAATCTCAATTTAATTAATATAGTCTTAAAGCATATTAAACGATAAAGTTTTCCTAAAATTGGGGCATTTGTATTATAGTTGGAAAATGAAAAAAAAAGTTTTGAAGTCTGTATATCACCCCTACAAATATTTCCCTCTTCTTACGGCACAGTTAATAAAATAAAAATAAAATAATATTTTATATAATATATATATGAAAATGATGTATCTAGTCTTCATGATTTCTGTTTATCAGAAATAATAATAATGTTAAAGCTTTGTATATCATATTTTAATGTATGTATATCTATATGAATGTTTCAGATAACCAACTCCGAATCTGAAAAATACACGCTCCGTTCCTCATACTTCATTATGGCAAACCCTATGCAACACAAGATACCAAATATCCCAGGTAGTCAATACTGTTTTACACCCGATCAGATATTTTCTTTACCAAACTCTCCAGGCAAAACATTGATATATGGAGCGACTCGGTCGGCTGTTGAATACGCCGGGCTTCTTGGAAGCATGGGATTCCCGGTAACCATAATGGTAATTAATAAATATATGCATTACAATTACATATAATTATTTATAATCTTTATTATCAGAGGATATTAAAATATAGAACATAACTATTTCTCAGCTTTCATGATTGCCAAAGCTACATTCAATGGTCCAAATATCTTTACTTAAGTATTTTTTAAAATGAAAGGCGGCAGTAAAATGTGTAATGAAGAATTTTTTATAAAAAGAAAACTTTTAGAAAGTTAGATTTAATGACACACGGTTTTCCTTCTAAATTCAATTTTTTTCCAGCGCCTTGCTTGATTGTTTTCCCCAAGCTAGAGTTTTTCTAAATAAGAGTCGAAATGATTACGGCAATTGATTCATGAGGATATGAAATGGTTATTTTAAAAATGGATAAAAAATTCTTCTGTGGGGTTTCGAGTTCCAATTTGCAGGCTGAAATTGTGAGTCTTGAAGGATCCTAGATATATGTTCTTTCTAATGTGAACTTATATATTTTTTCCGTTGGTCGCCTGAGCCAACAATGGGCATCTCTGCCAATCTTGGATACTACACCCAAACCTAAATCAAAATGTATAATCCTCAGGAATCTCTCTGTAGTTAGCTTAAAAAGCTTTTAACATTATCCAGTTGATCCAAACGAACTAAATTTCCTTTTTTCTGGCCATCTCCCGTCTGCATTTTCATCTGACCTCTCGGTTTTTCCCATCGCTGAAACCTCCTTTGATCCACATAAATTTTACTTTCTTGATATTTCTCCTACTGACGTACTCTTTACTTTTATTATCATTAAATCCAAATCCAACGTCTATAGCCATCACCAAATACCAGTTAAAATCATCAAACTATACTTTCCAACCTTACTTCCTATACTTTTACACATCTACAATATTGCCCTCCAAAATTCCATTTTCTCTTGAGGCTAGAAAAAGGTCATCATCGTCCAGCCGTTAAGCAAAGTTCCTGCTCATTCATCAGCTTCCGACTTCAGATCCATTTCGATTTTATCCAAGCCTCTAGAAAGATTAGTTCACTCTCAGTTCAATAACTATCTCGAGCAAAACCACTTCCTCAATCCTTTACAATCCGGTTTTCGTTCCTAATATTCCACCCAATCTGCCTTGACCTTCAATCCTCCATAAGTAAACAGGAAACCGCTATCCTAATATTTTTCGACTTTTATAAAGCCTTCGATACTGTAAATCACAACACCCTCCTTTCCAAACTCCAAAGGCTATCTATATTATTCCAACATTCCCAGACATTTGTTATTCCTTACAAATCGCCTTCTCTGTCGCTTCAATTAACACAAGGTGTTCCTCATTCTCTCCTATCTCTGCCTCTATTTATATTAATGACCTTTCTCACTCCATTCATCACTTCCCTTAATACTTATACGCCGATGATTTCAAAATTTACCAATCGTTCCAACCGTCAGGGATGCCTGAGGCAACTCGAAATCTACAAGAGAATATCGACTGTATCCGAAGTTGGGCAGAAATAATTCATTGGGAGCTGATTGCAGATAAAACGAAGGCTATCGGTTCCAGACATCTCATTAGTTCCTTGCTTACGCTCCTCTACTTTATCTCAATAGCTACTCAGTCTTGGCAGTCAAAAACCTAGGGATATTCGTTAATCAGAACCTCTCCTGGAACAATCATACTTGCCAAATTCTCCGAAAATCAATAACTATCCTTAAGCAACCCATTAGATTCCATAATTCTATTCCTCAAAAAAACCTTATAACCTTCTCCATTTCGACTACGGTTGCTTGGTGTACGGAGGGTTGTCTGAAAGGCTGGAGGCGAGACTGGAGAGACTTATGAATTACTTTTTCCCATGTTTCCTGCAGGTACACCGAGTGGAAGTGGCTCTACCCTACTTTTCGACGGCAATTCCTTCTTAGTAGTTTCCTTTTCCAAGTCCTCAAAACCAAAAATCCTCTCTACATCCTAGAACTCCTTACTTTACGTCCCTCTATCCACTCACTTAATACCAGATCCCAACCTACAGATCTATATGTCCCTTCCCGTAAAACCACCAGCAAATTCTTCGTCATTTGAGCTAACTCCTATTGGAACTCCTTACCTATCGCCATACGTCAATCCTCAACTACGAATTCCTTCAAACAATTCTTATTCCACTACCTAATTTACATTCAATCTTCCGTAACCACCTAAAGATTTTTAGATTACTTAATAACAGTTAATTGATCAGTGCCGATTCATTTTATGTTACTTTTTTTTCTGTATACTTGCTTTAAATTTCTATAAAGCAGACTAATGTACATATTTCTTGAACATTGAACATTTTTCTTTGGGAACTTTTGTACGAGAATAAAAATATTTTTCATTTCATTTACTTTATGAAGTACTGTTTCTCTTGATCAACGGTTGTGTAAAAAAGCTAATTTGACCATGACCACGCTCAACCACAAGGATTTCTTCCATAATTGATTATTTAATTAATTTTATGTTGAAAATAATAATAATAAAACATATTTAAAAATTATGACATGGCATGTTATCATGCATTGAATAGGTTCTTATAAAGTATCAAATGAAAAAAATTAATAATATTTTTACTTTTTCAGGCACCGACAAAAATCATGGAAGAATGTGACGGTGATATGGTAAAGTGCATTAAGGATAACATGAAATATTATGGCATAAGAATAATTGACGAGTGCGTTTTATCTACCATTAAATTGGTTACCGTGGCTGGCGAAAAAGATAACAGTCTGATTTCTGGGAGCGATGAATCATTGTATAAATTTAAATGGAATCCCCTGCAAAGTAAGGCCCGAAAAAAGAAAAAGCGAATGAAGCAGCCGCGACGCCGAGGCCGCTACCGCATGGTACGTCAATGCGAACTAAATAAAGTGATTGAACAAGCTCTATTAACTTGGGAAGTATCCCCAAAAGTGTTGAAAGCCATAGTCGAAGCCGGTCCTACTATGCGACAGCTCAAAGAAGAGAATGAAAGGAACAAGTTTGATTCTGTTGCATATAAAAAGAAAATTACAGCAATAAAAAAACAAAAGAATGCAATAAGAAAACTGTTTAGAACTGGCGGTGCCGGAAATAAATCCTTTAGACGCATCAAACAGTTACACTCGAGAACCGGACAAGTAAGAAGAAAACGTAGATTACGAGTTGCAGAAATGCACGCAAAAGAAGGACAAAGGAAAGTTAGCCGGAAACGGAGAAGAAGAAAGAGTTTATCCTGGAAGTTTCTTAACCTCTTTCTTGCTTCATCTCCTGATGAAAGAAAGTTGGCTTCAATAAATATCAGGAATAAAAAACCTCCGTTACTGAAGAAACCAATCCGTTATGGACCGCACTACAGTTATAATCCTAAATCAAGAGTAGGCGTCTACTTCCCAGGTGGTACTGCCCTAAGGCTTTCAAGAAAGGGTAAGTACTTTAAACATTTAACCCCGATTACACCATCCAAATTCAAAAGAAGAAAACCGTGGTCATCGTCATTATGCAAGCCTGTAAATGATTTTATGAATTCCCTTGAAAATTTACAAGACACAGATGGTAAAGGATATAATTTTGATGACCTCTCCTCAGAAGAAATAAAAGACAAGCGTGCTGATAACATAATACAAGAGTATAACAAGGAAAAATTCGAAATAATTGATATATTCAAATCTAAAGTTATACTTGTCGATGTAAATGGTGACACCACCTACAACTTAGATGACAAACATTTTAAAGAATATATGGTACTATCTTTAAAAAACATTGACAAAACCCTTAAAAAAATGTTAATGATATGTCGAAACATAGAGTTTAAAAGTCAATGTTTAACAATAATACGATTTTTGGCAAAAATAATTCAAATTTTACGTATGTTTCACTTGTATATTAATTGGAAGCTTAGGAACCGTAAAAAATTTTATAAAAAATCAAGAAAGAATCATCGAAAACGGCGTGATGCTGAACAAATATTAAACGATACGTTGGCAGTTGAAATGAAATACAAAATGATACAGAACAATATGTTTAATGTTGCAAAGAATTTAGACACTCTTATGTCATATATATTTGTTTCAGCTTGCAATGTAATCGCAGAAGGATCAAATGAGTGTACTGAAAGCGAAGATGTAAGTAACCGAGATTCTTCGTGGGAAGAACACTCTAAAAATGCTTCATTATTTGGCAGTGGCACCACACCTGATCGCAAATCATATAGGCACAAAGATCCGAATCTGTCATTCAATTCTCGTAGATTTTACAACAAGCAGCGTTTCATCCGTACCTGTATGGGTTCAAAAGTTGATATTGTCGATCCATATTTATCTAATAAAGATTCGAGATTGTATATAGATGACAACTATGTTTCCCCTTTCAGTTTCGGATCTGGAAGACCAGCGAACTCTCCCAAGTATGATATTAACCCAGAGCTCCAAAAGTTAATCTCTCGCTTTAAAAAATCTAGAAAGGGAAAAAAAATTAGAAAAATAAGGCCTGTACCAAACATAGAGAGTTCGCTAAACATTTTGAGACTCTTGAAAGAACAAAATGACAATTTACAAAAAAAAGAGATGATGCCATTGAGCATCGAATCAGAAGTTGTATCGGACGCAAGGGAACGAAATTCTTTGCCAGACCGAAAAAAAATAGAAAACCTCCGAATACAAGGGGTCCGTTCTGAACTACATTTTACGGAATTCCCATCTTTTGGAGGAAACCAAATGGTATCGAACATCATTGATGTTAGCATCAACTCGGTAACATTGCATAAAACGAAATTTAGTATTAAATACGATAAATTAAAACCAGTGAGAGGTATGCGAACGCGTAATCAAATCATTATTAAACAAATTATCGATGAGAACAATTCTAAAAGTTCACAAAATTCTAGAGAGAACAAAACGAAGTTAAATTTCAGAAACTTCGTGGCAATGAATTTCGGCACTCAGTATAAAATGAGCTCTAGTTTATCTCAACGTGATAATTATCTAAGTACCCTTGTTATACGATCAGAAGCAAAAGCAAAAAAATTCAAACCTCTTAAATGGGGAAGTTTAGCAATGTACCAAAAAAAGGTTTATAGAGACAGGAATATATTCCTTCAGTCTTTGAAAGCAAATGTTAAACCAAGACCTATATACTATTTATACGACTACGAAGTAAGTGATTCCGTCACCGAAAGGTTAGGTCTAAGCACAGTTCAACCAAAATGTACAAACAGCTTAGTCAGTTTAGAGAGTGTACAAAGACTACACCCAACACTTTTCAATTCATCGAGAATGCGTGGTATTGGTGCTGAATCCAGCGATCCGTCTAATGAAATAATTTTTGAAATTGAGGATGACAAATCCTCCAATATCTTGGATAAGATATTACAAAATGAACCGAGGTTAGATAATGTACCATCGACCCATGGGGTTATGACCACTTGCAAGGCGGAAAAAGCATCTCATGAGAAATATTCCGGGTCAAAATCAGTACCAAAAGAGAGTAGTACTGGCAAATCAATTAATTTGGAAAGGTCAGGCCCAATCGATAACTCTCGTAAAAATATTACTAAATCTGTATTATCAACAGACTATTCGCGTCAAAAAATTCTGAAAAATACTGTTGAGGAAAGCAAACGTCTGAACGATTCATCTTCTTTTATTGCCGATCAGTATACAGATATTTTGAAGGTAGCTCCTCCTGAAATGGATAGATCTTCACCGGTAAATCTCGATTCGTATATAAAAGGGAAATACCCCGTGGTTGATTTGAGACGTTTAGGCACCATTGATGAGTTTAAGCCAAATCTGAAGTCAGCACTAAACTTACAGGGCTCCTTGGATCCATTTTCGAGTATGTTAGATCGTTTTGAATCTAACATGAGGCTGTTTCGCAATAAAAAAATAAACAGTCAAAAGGATACAACCAGTATCCCATCAACTTCAAAAGTTTAGAAATCAAGATACTGCAATGCGACTGATGAATTTATCCGATCACCAAAACCAAGTACTTTTGAAATGGAAAACGATTCTCAACAGAAAGATGGAGATAATGACAAATATTCCAAAAAACCCGTAAACATAAGACAACACAAAAACATTAAAACTAACAAACGGTTGGGAAAGAAACGGCGCTTTTCACGCCCTCCTTCTGAATTAGATTTACAACAAATATTCCCTCAACCGTTAGAAGATGGATTACGTTATGGTGTAATACCATTAGATGGCCGCGCCCAATTAGAATATCAACTCGATCAAAAACTGAAAAAAATCCGTGAGGAGGCAATATCATTTTCCGAGCTCTTAGAAGATCTAAAACAATACGCGATATTATCAAAAATTGTGAAGTTGTGTAAATTCCAGGAACGATATCGGAGGAAGAGATCTAAACAGAAAATTAAAGTTAAGGCACAACTATTTCCAGATCATTCAGTTTACAAGGTAAAACTAAAAATAAATTAATAACTTAAGTCCCTATGATATTATTACTGTTAATTTGCACTCCTTTCCACGTTTTAATCTTTTAATTAATTTATTTTGTTAAGAATAACAAATAACTTCAGATTTTTGTATTATTAATTTTTAATATAGTATCTTACCTACTATGTGTTGAAAGAATTCTGTAAACTTTCAATTCAAGCAAGCATTAAAAACAAATGCTGGAATTACATTTTTATATACTGACTTATTAAGGTTTAAAAATTAAATTAAATTGGCGTAAGAGAAACCTCAATCTCAACATTGGGCAATTGTTTTGTTCAGTCTCGATTGTTTCACTAATGTATATTCTAAATGTACATTACTGAATTTTGTAAATTTGTAATATTCTTATTACTTTCCAATTGAGGCAGGATTTTCTAGTTTAAAGAAGACACAGTGGTCTGTCCTTTTTAAAAATCTGATGATGGAAAGGAAATTTATATGGCGAATTATTACCACTTTCATTTTTTTTTTTAAATTATCTTATTGAATAATATAACAATCAACTACAATATGGACAATGGTTATAGTGAGGAAAGAGTACGTACATTCACACCATAACCTCTTTCATTAAAATATTTTTACAATTACGCTAGTTAGCACTCTTATTTTTGTTGCCACTTTTATTTTTTAATAAATAAATAAACTTATAAATAAATAAAAGTGTTTATTTTAAGAGTAAATGTAGATTGAAGGTCGCTATGTGTGATTGATAGAATTTTAGTTAATTAAAAAGTTTTTAGGGTGTAAAATATTTAATAAAAATTTACATTTAATTTTCAGGTAAAAGGAAAATACCAAAATTCTGTTCATGACGACTTTATTGAAAATTTTAATACCATAATCATAGCTGGAAAAAGAATGTGCCCCTCACAAGACGTTAATATTCATGATATTGGTGTAACAACCTGTCCTTTGTAAGATATTTTTCTCTATATTTTAAAAATTTTATAAATTTAAAAGTAGTCATTTTTCCCTTCTAGATATAGATAAGGCCCGGGTGCATTTTTCTACTATCATTCATCTCTGTTTCCAATCATTATTAAATACTATCAATGTAGCTAAACATTCTTTTACTCGAATAAATTAATGAAAACGTGTTTATAACTTATTAACTAACGAAATCAGATATCATTATAAATCGTACAACACATAATAAGTAAGGTCTCAAAAGTAATTTAAGTTATTTGGTGTTAAAGAAAGATATCAAAAAAATAAAGTACTACTGGCCTGGTTGCTTAAAATAAATATAGTTGTTTAACTGCGGTTAGTTAAGAAGGAAGGGTAGGTCATAGTGATATACAATTTGAAGAATAACAGCGTTCTAATGTATAAATTAAATAATTAAATATAAAGAATTAATTAATTAAGTATAAACATACATGAAGAAAAGATATAAAGATATGTCCAACCCACAGCAAGTAGTCGAGTGGCAATTTGACTGGAGTTGGTAGATCGTGAGGGAGAGGATGTGCAATGTTTACTAGGAATGGACCGTTCCGGGCGGAACGAAGATATAGTATATATAATATATTATATATAAAGAAAATAATCCAAGGAGAAACAAATTTATCGAGTTATGTGAAAACCACAACTTATTCATTTTAAATGGAAGGCGATTTCATATTACAGGCGATAAAGAGGTTACAATTAATTACCTAGTTCTGCCATAAATACTGTTACAAAAGTTGAACTTTCTTTACATTCTTGTGTATTATTTACATAATCCTTACCTCTATCAGATTATTCTCTTTACATGTCAGTATAATAATCCCAATTAGTTTGTATTTTTCTTTCGCTTAGTTGGGTGTGTGTGAGCATGGAGTGGGGTGATAAAGAAACCCGAATCGTCTTACACAAAGTTGAAAAATGTAGGTCAGAGTTTTCCATGTGGGAGTAAGCCAATTAAATAGTAAGCAAGTAAGGCAACTCGTTCGGGTATGGGTCTTCACATCAACGTTCTCACCCCGAGTTCTTCAATGCTAATATTATCACGGAACGGCAGAGTTGGACTAAAGAGGAGCTATGAATCACCAGCTATGAATGAAGCATTACTTATGGCTCAGGGAGGAAATGTAAGGATTTGGTTGGTATGCTACCTGGTAGGTTTATATGGAGTATACGGAAGGCAAGAACAAAAGAACCATAACAGGATCTCCTTCAGAGAGGCCTGGAAAGACATAATGATCAAGCAGTAGATACTAACCCATCTGCTGTCACAAATAATGGTACCACAGATAAGCAAGATTTTCTGAAAGCAGACAGAGATTTATGCCAGGAGATAACTGATCCTAACTCATTGTTGATTTCACTTTTGGAGATTTTAGAAGGCGAAGACATTTCGAAACCTCTTAATGCATGGCTCAAATCCTTGCTAAACGTAAAAAGCACCATTTTAAATGAATCTGGTGAAAGATCGTTGCCCGCTAATTCTGCTGTTAGAAGACGGGAGCAGTCCAGGAGGATTCAAAGATTATGAGCAAAAGATAGGAAGAAAGCGGCTTGCGAAGTGTTCAATGGTACCACAGCCCGTAATAAGCACAGTGTTGAGGAACTCAAATCTTTCTGAAGACCGCTGATGGAGATAGCATCGTGTCCCAATTCCTTACCAGAACTTGTTTACATTGTCGAGTTATGTAATGGAGAGGCAGTATGTGCAAGTTATCAGAAGGCCTCGACAGTACGTGTTCATTATTAAAAGTGTTAGATGACTGAATGGTTGAAGGAAGATGAATAGAGGGATGGCCTCGAGTGACAGGCGGATCAGCACCCAATCACTCACGGCCCGCGGTGAAAGGGATCAGCCTTAACACTCCGCAAGGATGGTAACCACAACCGGAGGGATCAAACTCCGGACTTGTGGGAGGATGATATACTGACGGATGGATCAATCTCCAGACTCAGTATACAGGACTGCAAGCGGACGGATCAGCATCCCACTTACATGGAATAAGAGAAGAGGAAAAAGGTATTAGGATGTTGTTAAATAAGAAGAGCACACTGAGGCGAACCAAAAGTGTATATGGGACATATACTGACCATCTGTATATAGGTCTACACGCGCTGCCTGGTAGCGGGAAGGCGAACTCGTTCCTGGTAGTGAGAGCGGGAAGTCGAACTTGTTGTACCATGTGGCAAGAGCGAAAACTATGCCGGAAACTGTTGCCGCGGGAATCTGTCGCCGCTAAAACATTTTGGTTGCCAGTTACAGTTGATGAAATCAAATTAACTGCTATGGACAAGAAATCTTCAGCGGAACCAGATGGTATCACCGCTAAGCAATGGGAGTCTGTTACTCCCTTACATAGGGCCATCTTTTATAATATATATCTGTCAAATCCACCTCACTTACTAAAATTACCTGCTGCCCGGACTACATTTGTTCCGAAATCTGATGATCCCGCTGGTCCTAGTGAATATAGACCCATCACAGTTGCTTCAGTCCCTCTTAGGCAACTGCACAAGATAATTGAAACTCGTCTAAACGAAATGGATTTGCACCATGTAAACCAGCGAGCGTTTATTGTTTCTGATGGCACTGCAGAAAATATATTCTACTTACAAGCTCTAACGGATGACTATAAAATTAGAAATAAGGAAATCCATGTAACTTTTATGATTATAATATTGCCAAAGCTTTTGATAACGTGAGCCACAATGCACTTTATAAAATCTTGGAATGGAAGGGTATACCAGCTGTACTTATTATTTACTTGAAAGGGCTATATAGGAAATGTTACACCCGCATTACAGAAAGTAAGAAGCAGACGGATCCTATTGTATGCGGAAAAGGTATAAGGCAGGGCGACCCATTAGCCCTACTCTCTTTAACATGGCAATGGATTGGGTAATCCATTCCCTTCCAGATGGTATAGACTACAATATGGGAGGAACGATTGTAAACTGCCAGGCATTTGCAGACGACCTAGTTTTAATCACATCCTCATCAAATGGCATGAAAAACAACTATCGGACGCAGCTGCAGCTTTTCAAAATCTGGAAATGGAAACCAACCCAGCCAAATGCTAATGTGATGAAGGTCGATAACAAATTTCATTTTGCAGTAAATGGTGCTAGAATCAAGCAGTTGGGTATCTTGGATTGCTGGAAATACGTCGGAGCGAAATTTACGTTGAACAACAAGAACGCCGTAGGAGTTATCGATGAATTATCATTACTGCTACACAAAAACAAACATAGCACCCCTAAAGCCTCAACAAAAATTAGTGAGTTTAAGAACGTGTCTTATCCCGAAATTCATCTTCTCACACTGATTCCAAGCAAAATGAATGAGTTGAGAAATTTGGATATTTTAACAAGAGCGGCAATACGTTCTTGGCTGCGACTGCCTCAATGTACTCCTACTCAATATTTTCACTTTCTTGTACTGATGGTGGTTTGGGCGTGATGTGCTTTAGCAGTGCTATACCCTCACTCAAGCTCGCTAGGTTACGGCATATGGAGTACTCTGGTTGCCCAGTAGCAAGAGCCGCCTATCACTCCTCCTTTATTACTAAGGAAATAATAAAACTCACAAGCAACCTCACGAAAATGGGCCTCAACTCAGAAAAAACTTAATACTGCAGGAAATACACTGTCCATGAAGTTAGATCGTAGCGTATATTTTTTTTTTTTGTTATTTTTATTTTTATTTACTGTATTATAGTATTACTTGTTTTTTCCACTAACCGGCCAGCAAGGACCACGCGAATATCATTTCCGTTTCCTCTTCACTCCCTCAGCCTTCCTCATACTCCAATACTCTCCCATCCTCCTGGACTGTTCCTCTCGCTCTTCCTTAGTCCATTTTCTTCCTCGTCTCTCCCTCCCACCTACAAGAACCCCAACCCCTTTCAATTTTTCCCTAAAAAGCTCTCTATCCAAGCAATTTTCATCAGTAATGTTTATCATGTCTAGTTCCTCTTTTATTTGTTTTACATATCCCCATACTTTTATAGCTGCAAACTTTGTCAACAATTTTCTTGTTCAGTCTTTCACTATTCATTCTGACCATGTGGCCGTAGAACCTCAGTCTTCTGGTCCTGACGACTGTTTTCAAATCTTCCAAATTTTTGTATATTTCTTTATTGGATTTTAGCCTGTATCTCTCTTGAGTCACCTTTGGTCCGTGAATCCTCCACAGAATCTTCCTCTATTGATGCCTTCAGGATTTTCTCTAGGCTCGGAAGGCTGACTGTTTCCATATCATATAATATTATAGGTCTTGCTACTGTACAGTAATGCCTTATTTTTGTATTTGAGGACAAGTTTTTTTTGTTGTAAACATTCTTGGTGGCGAAGTTCAGTCATTCCAGTTTGGTTATTCTTCCTTCGATTGATGCCTTATCCGTTCCGTTGCTACATATAATCTCCCCTAGGTATTTAAACTTTTTGATTATTTTCCCATATTTTGTGTCCAATATTTTCTTGGTGAAGTTGGAATCTGTTTTTTCATAAAAGATATGTTGTCCCGTTTTCTTGGATATTTCTTTCAGGGCGTTTACCTGTTTTATGGCTTCCTCTTCTGTCTCTGCTAGTAGGGCTAGATCATCTGCAAAGGCCTGGCATTTTACTTTCACATTGTCCTTCTTTGTTCCTATTACTGCACCTGCCTCGTCCTTTCGCCAGAATATTGTCATAATTTTGTCCAACACTAAATTAAAAAGTATCGGTGACAGGACGTCGCCTTGCCTAAGCCCCGTTTATTTTGAATGGTTCACTTATTAGTCCCCGAAATTTTATTTTAGAAATAGTGTTGGTCAGTGTCAATTTTATCAAGCTTATTGTTTTTTGATCTACTCCGTATTCCCTTAGAACTTGGAGCAATATATCCCTGTCTATCGAATCATAGGCCTTTTTGAAGTCTATAAAGGAGATGAAGAGATTTTTCTGGGGTCTAGCTCTGTAATATTGTATG